GGATCAGGACATTTGGTTTGCGCACTTTTGAAGTCCATTGCGTCCGCTCTCTCCACCGCAGCTTGTTGCCCCTTCTGTGGCATGGGTGGCTCTTGCGTCTCAGACAGGCTTTGTTGCGCGCGGTGCGTTCGCCGAGAACATCCTGGAGTTTGCAGTGGAGGCGCGATGGGCAGGTCTCCGACCCGATGTCCGAGTCCATGCCCCCTTGCTGTTCGGATTTGATGCCGGGCAGTCGTTCTCTTCGTTTAGCCAGCCGTGCATGATGAGGGTCCTCGACAAATCCAGCCGCCCTGCAGTCTTGTGCAAAGTTGCGAGAGTACTCTGCCGTGGCAGTCGCGACTGTTCACTCTGATGTTCCCGTGCTGTTCCGCATTTCTAGCGGTGTTTTCCGTGTCGCTCCTCGCGCTTGCTTCGGCGCCCGTCGTGCGTCAGTTGCGTGGTGCGTTCGGCAAGCTGGGGGGTGACTTCCTTCGTGCCTGAGCTGAGCTGATGATATGTTTTGCATGCCCCGTGACTTGCGCGGGTCATGCCGGCCCCGCTTCATGGTGATGTGCTGTGGTTCGTGCTGCGCCCCGCCCCGGGCCGACGAAATGTTGTTTTGCCTTCCTTGGTAGGCAGCTCGCAGAAGCCCCGATCGCGGGCGCGAGGGTGTTCCTCGAGGAGGCTTGACCTGACTGGAAAACTTGTCTACTCCCTCACAGCTTATAACCTTTGTTGTTGGGTCGTTCCTGGCGCGAGACCTATCGCATCGCGGGGGCGCCGTGGCGCGCGTGCTACGTCGGGTGTGTGTCGCCGGCGAGTGCGGCCGCGTCGATGCGCGTGGGCGCCCATCTTGACAGTGCTAGGGCTTTATTCGCGTTGCCCCGCGTCGGACAGTTCCACGCCGCTCCGCGGGTGATGCTGGGCAGGGGGGTCCGCGAGCTAGTCCGGATCTGTCGAGCCCTTGGACGCGCCTTGCGGCGCGCCGACACTGCGTGCCTCTGGGGCTTGGGCGATCCCGAGTTACAAGCTGCCCGCGATGTTCCTCAAGTCGCCTTGATTTGTTCTGCTCTTGGTTCGCGCGTGCTTCCCGTCGGCGTTCGCCGTCGTTTCGGGGGTTTGAAGTTGTCGTGGGGGCGCCCGACGCGGCGGCCGCGCGATGCGATCCCTCGCCCGGTTTCCAACGCGCTGCTGGCGGCGTCGAAGCGGCTCGCATTGCCATGGGGGGGCAGCGTTGGAAAGTGTTCCCTTTCGGCTGCTGCTTGTCGCGGGATCCCGGCGGCCTCGTATTCGATTCTTGTGGATGGGATTGTGGGCGTCTCGGAACTTCCTACCTCCTCGAATGTTGGCGCGTGGGTTGTGTGATGGTCAAAATGGTGCCCGCAGTGAGTGGATGAAATACGTGCAACGCCGCGGTGGCGACTAAAGCGGACGGCGAACGGAAATCTCGCGTCCCTGGCGCAAGCGCGCCAGAAAGCTCTTTGACGCCTGGGCGACCCTGCAGTGCACCCCTTGCAACAGCGTGCCACGTTCCTATTTTTCTTTCTGTGCTGCGATGGATGCGAAGACGACCTGGCGCAGAATCGCGGTTGTCTCGCGCTGATTTTGGGCCTCTGTTTGGCGATCTCGAGTGGGGGGATCCGGCCGCCAGAACGTTCCCCACCGTTGCCCAGTTTTGTCTTTGACTGAACTCGCGGAGCTTCCTGACCAACGACGAGGTTAGACGCGAGCAGCATGATCCGCCTGCGCGCTTGCGTGATGTGGCTCGAGGTTCTTTTCGCGCCGAAGCGTCGGCTGTTCCATCCAGGGTCTCGCGCGCGCCCTCGTCTGCCGCGGTCGCTGCGACAGTGGCGGCGGTTTCCAGTCGAATAGGTGGAACCCATTGATCACCCTGAAGTGCGAGTGATGGTTGCAGGAGTCTTTCGGCGCCTGGAGGTGGTTGCGCGGCCCAATCTCCGTCGTCGATCGAGCAAATATTATGACCCTTCGTCGGGATCACCCAGTTCTTCGTGCGAGTCTCCTTCGTTGATTTTGGTGCCTAGCTCCGCAAGCGTGATCGGCGTTGGCGACGATCTACCATGCTTCTCTTGGACTGACAGTGACAGGACCAGCTAGAAGGAATCGGAGGGACCCTTCTCTTCGAGTGGTGTCAGCGACGGCGAATTGATTATTCCTGCCCCGCTGGGTCGGGTCGCGATTAGCGGGCTCGGGCGAATCGGGGGTTTTGGCGGCGGAGTCGCGCTTCGCGGCGCTCGCCGCTGGCTTGGTCAACGTGAAGGCGAGGCTGCGAGGAAGCGATGCGAACTCACGGACAGGGCTCCACCGCGGGCGCGCACTGGGCCACCTACTGTCAATGCAGAACGGGTGGGCAGGGACGACCATCGCGACTGGATTCTTTGATGTGCCGATTGCGCTTAGGACCCTCCTGGATATTAGTGTTAGAGATATCGATTTTCTCGCCCACTGCCACGGAATGCGACAGGCAGCAACTGGCTGCTGCGCAGGCACCTCGCATGCGTCTGAGAGCAGAATGATCACCTCCAGATGCGCGCTGTTCGCGTCAGAGCAGTCGAGCATCTCGCAAAGCGCAAGTGGCGACGTGATCCCAAGAGGATGTCAGAGGTACAGCGACAGTTGTTGTGCTTGGAAGGGGGTATATGACTGGACGTGACAGTGGGCATGCGTCGGTGCACCGTGACATCCGTGACCTGGCTCTGGGAGCCGAAGATGCGCATGAAGCTGGCGGCGACCAGCGCGAGCGCTATGGAGAGACTTGCCCGCGCTATTAAGCGCCTGCCCCTGGTGGCCCTGCCCGAGGGGCTGGTCTACGACGACGCAACCCCGCTATAGGTGTTTTATGCTGCTACGGGGACGGGCGCCCTTGATCTATATGAACGCCAGCCAGCTGCCGATCACGAGGCACCGACTCCTCATGATTGTCCTACATCGGGAGCGCCTGGATCTTCGAAGGGCGCGGCTACTTGCGGCGATGTTTCGTCTGGGCGCGTTGCTGGCCCTCCGTCAGGTGACAAGCGTGGTGTCAACGCGCCTCGGTCAGTCGACCCCAGCGGTGCATTCCAAGCTATGCCAGAGCTTCTACAGCGTGCGAGCGGACGGGTGCGAGGCTGGCCCCTCGGTTGTTTTCGCCAGCAAGCCTGGTTCAGACTTCTTGGACTGAAGGGGGTGGTGCACGCGTAATTTCAACGACGTGCTTCGATATCGGGTCTTCGAAGGGCTTGCCAGTGCTGATCCGAACCTGCGCGACCCGACGAGGGAAAGGCTTGCGATGGGACTTGCGCGGCGAGGTTTAGCACCTTTCATCGGAAGGGCGCGAACATCTGCGGCAACAGCTTGCGCGGGCTTGGCCTGGAGAAGGATTTCAGAGACAGCAGATTGCGTTCCCATTCGGTCGCGAGATCCTGTGGGCCAGTTGTTGTCTAGCCGGTCCTTTTCGGATGGATCCCGCGATGCGACGAGCATTCCACATCCCGTGCGTTTCTCGACTCCGCGGCCCTCCTCTGCCAGTCATCCAGCCCGCAAGACAGCAAGGCGATGACCCACCCCCCTTTTGAGGGAGATGACGATGGAGACTCTGAGACGTCTGGCCGCGATGTTCGCAGGCGTCCTGTCTGCGAGGCTTTCGTCTCGCCGCCCGCGGAGGTTGACGTCGATGGCGCGGTGGGCGGCGCCTGCCCTTTGCTTCTGGGGCTTGCTCTAGTCGCGGCCCCGCGACGCATCCGCGTCTCAGCGGCGGCCACTGTTGGGGCTGGGGGGGCGAGCTCGAGCCTGGCGGCCTCGCTGAGTTCACCGGCGGGAGTGCGACGGTTGAGGCGATGCAGAGTGCCTTGCGTGATGATGGGCCACCTTTTCCAGCTCCTGTAGTTTCGCCGTCTGGCGGTGATTTGTCCGCTTGTAATGGCGATGGAGAAAGACCTGCTGGTCAAGATAACGGGCGTGGCCTTGCGGTCGAGGCGTTGGTTGAGACTGGCATGGTGCGGCGTGCCCCCGTCAGCGCGCTCTTGCGGGTGCTTCCTGGCGGCGATGACCTCAGGTCTCAGCGCAGCGGTGGCGCGCCCGAGAACATGGTGGGCAAACCGCCACCAGTGGGCATTCTCGATCCTGGCGGAGACGGAGCTTTGCGCATTGACAATCGCATCGAAGGCTGTGCTGATCAGTTTCTTTTTCTCGCGGTGTGGCGAGCCTTGATGATTTGGATTGATTGGCGTGTCCTTGACATGCCGCATGTCATCGAGCCGCGGTCGAGGGCGACGGCGCCCCCAGTTCGCCTGGCAGACGCCATTTGGCTGAGGGCTTGGGGTGTCCGCGCAGCGGTCTGGGCTAGGGCGGCCAGAGCCCGCGTCCGACTCACGCGAATTCTATCGACTCAGCGCCTCGCGGACCGGCGCTCGGCAGTTGAACTCCATGCAGCGGCATCCCGACGCAGAAGATGCGGCGTGGAGGGTCGAAGCGTGCCGACTCCTAGGAGGCTGCCCCTTCCCATGTAGCGTCTTCGTGATTTGTGCGATCCGCCGCGCCCTGCTCCGGGACCTCGGGCGCTTGCTCCGCGCGCGCCTAAAGGGCCCTGAAGGGCCAGGCCCGCCGCGCGATCCCGTCGACTCCGAACCCGCGGTGTCCGACGGAAGCCGCCTCCTGACGGTCGCGCTTTTGCGCGATGGCCTGCGCTGCAGCCGCTGCCAGTTGCTGCCGAGGCAGGGGCGCGACTGGTGCTGTGATGTGTCTCCCTCGAGCTCGCTGTGCTTTTTATCCTGGATGAACAAGAAGGTGGCGCGTGCTTTTTTCCGTCGAATGCTCTGGTCTGCGGTCGGTTTTGCGGAGGTGATTGCGGCCGCCTGATCCCCGCCGCGGCCTCCGACATCGAAGATTCGGATTGCGATGGCTGCGCGCAACTTTAAGGTGTGATTGAGCCTGTCGTGGAGCTCGTTCAAGCACTGGAAGGGGCGGCGCGTGCCGCTCACCTTCGGGCATTTAAAGGGGGCCAGAATTCGACCGCATGTTCGTTGATGCGGGTGGCGATCATTACGCAGATATTCGTGGTCAACTTGCCGCAGATCCCCGCGCAGACGCTGGCCCGCCACGCGGGCCCAGGGGGCCGCGCTAGCCGAGGCCGCCAACGACCAAGCGGACAATGCGAGGGAAGACGAGCTCGCATGGTGACGTGCCCTGTGCGGGAGATTGCGCGGGTGATGGCCGTATAGACCCTTGGTGCCACCAAGGACGCCGCGCATTTCTAAGCATGCTGAGACTCCGCATGGGCATTGTGAATCATATCGTCAACCTCCTGGTCGTGAGCTCCCTTACGATGGCGTGGCACGACGTGAATCCCCTGTCCTTCAATGACATGCTGCGTGCACAGCTACTGTTGTGGCCCGGAATGAATATTGCTGGCGGGTCTTCCTGTGGTTCAGCTGCCTTTCGATGCGATGGTCTCTTGCTCCCCTGGGTGGTGGCGGGAGATTCAGGCCCTGCACCCCCCTCATCCTCGACGGCCTCGCGATCCACTGTTTGGCGCCGCGCCAGGTTCTTTCACAACAGGGTCTCGCAATGACTACACCGACATGGGCGGCGACTTCCGCGCCGCCGTCTTCGACGAGTCCTTTGTCGTGCCCGACGTGGCGCTGAGCGCCTAGGCCCCTCGCGCCGCCTCTGCGTCGCCCCGCGCCAGCGCCACCTAGGCGCCGTGTGGAAAGGGCCCGCTCCCCCAAGGCTCTGGGTCCTCCTCCTCGCAGCGCAACAGCTGACGATCTCCTACCTATGATGTCGATCGACCGTGGTCCTCCGCCGTCGGTGTCGTCCTTCTCCTCCTTCCCCTCCTCGTCATCCTGCGAATCCTCGTGGATCCTCTCTCCTCCATCCTCATGCTCCTGCTGATTTTCCCACACTCCTCTTCCTGTCCTACCCTTTGAGCCCTCTTGCCAGTATCTTGGGCCCCCCTGGGCCCCCATCGGGGACCGAGAAGCAGTCTGAGTCCGCAGTGCTGATGACGCTGAAACAACCAACTCGCATGTGTAACTCAAGCGGCCTTCGTGGTCGATTCGGGGGGGGGGGTCGAAGGGCGTGCGTCTGTCTTGAAGCATCCTGCGCCATCCTAGGGCCACATCGAGGCCATCCTGGGGGTGGCATGCTCTTGACGTATTTTCCATGCGGCTCCGTATTTCCCCAAAACTGCGCCTGCGGACTCGTTGTGTCGTACTCGCGCGTGTAGACTGCACGCGCAACATGCTCCACGTTCACTGCCCGATTTGGCTGGAGGGCCCAAGGGGATCTGATACGCCACCTGCCCGCAGTGGCGGCGAACTTTTTCATGCGCTCTGGCATGACCCTCTTCCGCTACTTTGTGCGATCAGTAATGTTTGCTTAACGTGTCGCGCCGCAGGTTCTAGCCCACCACGTTTCGGCGCAACACGCTAAGCATTTCCCATTTCCCTGGCGTCAGCGTCCAGAGCGTGTCCCTGCCTCCCGCCCCGATGAGCGGACCGACACGCTATCAGCTCGCAAAGCAGAGCGTGTCGCTGCGGCCGCCGCTGCGACACGCTACGCAAAACGTCCTGACCGTATCGCATCGCAGTAAGGCTCTGCGTCACTGGCAATCGCGCTCCGCGCTGCACCGCTGCCGCGGCGGAGCGCTCCGAGGACCGCGAGAGCCTCGCCCTGGACGGCGGCGTAGGACTGGCGGCCGCCGCCCAGCAGCCCCCAGGCCGTCAGCCATGTCGTCTTTGCCCTCCTTCGCGGGAGGATCGCCACAATGCAAGCGGGTCCTGAGTTGTCTCGCCGCTCTCTCTTGGCGCTCCTGGGCCCTCCGCGGGCCCAGGGGTGTTCGAGAACCGGTCCCGGCGGCGGTGGTGGCGCTGTTCCTCTTTTTTTGGGGGGTCTGCGGGAGGCTCCTCGTCGCCGCGGCCGGGCTCCCTCCGACGCCCTGATCGGGGCGCACCCCAGGTGATAGCCGAGCCAGGGGCGGGGGCGTCCCAGGGTCGCCCTGCGGACATTTGGGTCCCGGAGGCAAGGGGGTCCTGGAGAGGCTTCGCCCTCTTCGGGATCCCGGGGCGGCCGCCCGTGGGCCCCGAGGGCCACAAAGAGGCAGACTCGGGGACGGACCTGCGGCCACGTGCGAGCCCGTTCCCTGCGGGTCCAACCGACGCTGGAGTATCCGACGCCCCCGCAGTGGTCCATTTGGCTGCAGGCATCCTCCGAGCTTTGACTTCCAGCTGCCGTTGTAGAATTCTGGCCTGCAGGGGTATGGTTCACATGTGGTTGCCGAGTGAAGAGTCGCGGCGCGGTTCCAGGGGAGGAAACCCCATGCTCCAGGACCCGTTCCCAGGTGGAGTCTTCTCCACCGTGCCAAAGAGTAAGAATTGGGAGTGCACAGCCAGAAAGAGGTGCACGAGCGCCCTTGGTTCGAGACGTGTGCCCTAATGTTCCTTTGGTTTTCTGAGTGTTGTGTGTGCAATCTTCCGAGGGGTACCCTCGAATGTTCTTGAAGTGTACCCTCGAATGTTCTCCAGTTTGACAGTTCTATTCGTTCGTTTCGGACGGTGCTTGGGCTGAGGGCTGATGCTTGCGCTATGTATGATCCCGTGTCGAGGGTTCACAGGCCCTCCCCCAGGTGGGCTGGGTCCCAGGGTTCCACAGGCCCCGCCCCCAAGATTGGACGCCGACGCCAACTCCAACCACGCCGACAACGACGCCGACGCCGACGCCCACGCCCACGCCCACGCCGACGCTGCCGACGCCGACGCCAACGCTGCCGACGCCGACGCCGACGCCGACGCCAACGCCGCCGACGGACGACGCGAACGACGATGACGACAGCGACGACGACGACGCCGACGACGACGACGACGACGACGACGACGACGGCGGCGGCGGCGGCGACGACGACGACGACGAACCACGTCACACCCACAGGGGGAGGGGGGGATACACAGGCACCCTCCACCACGCCACGCCCACAGGGCCCCGACCACATGGGAGGTGGGGGGGAGCGATCCCATTCGCGAGGCCTTCGCGAGGCTCGCGGGCGTACCCATCCAGTGGGGAGGGGGGCTCGATCCCATATGCAGTTGTTAGGAACGAGGGGGGCAACCCTGGATCGTGTGTGGGGCTATGGCAGGCACCTTCCATGTTTGGTGTTTCCGATGTCAGGATGGGGCCTTCAGCAAGCACGCGGCCCCTTCATGTTGGTAGACGCCCTTGCATGTTCTTCGCCTTTAGTGTTTCCAGGGGGCCATGGTATAGTTCATGTCTGGGGCGGTAGCTGCCGCTATGGCCGACTGTCAGGGCAGCAGCGGAGGCTGAGGCTAGCGCCAGACTTCCAGGTAAGCTGTACGGGTGGTCGGACAGTCTTTCTGCCGATATCGCTTCGGTTCGGGCGTGGGTCGCAGTCACGCGCGGCACATATTCCCTCATACAGCCGTACGTGCTATCTGCGAGGCGAAACACGTAAAGCCTTCCCCATCTTTGTTATCTCAACCGTATTCTATGATCCAGAAATTACTCTGTCGACTTGATAACAGAGTTGGCCCCACTCACGTACGACTGGCTCCCGCCCTTTTGATTCTCTACGGTGGAACATGTTGTGCTGCCGACTACCTGCACCCAGCGCCCACTCTCCACCACCATCTACGAGGACATGTGCTACTTGCGTTCGGAAGCGAGCAATTCGGAAGCGATGTATGTGCGAGCGGAAACGACCAGCTATGAAACGATCATACGGCACCACATCACACCACGCTTCCCGGCGCAATCGGGCCTCTCATTTTTCGCCTAAGATGATTTGGCGTCGGTGCGGAGCTAGATGCAGAAAGGTGGCGACGATACCAGCACCAGGGGCCCATACTGGTCCACAGCCGGGCAATCTACCGTTCAGAGATTGGGTGTTGGAGGTCCCTCGCATGGCTTCACGTCACCTTCGGCCGAATGACCCCATAACACCAGGCCTCAGCTCTTGAGCGCGGTCTGCGGGGTACGGCCAGACACACTGCCATTACGAGTGTCTAGCAGCGTCATCAACTTTGGAGTGCGACTAGCCGGGTCCACACGGACCCTGCCATCTATATCATGCTCCTCCTCAGTGTCAGGTTCGAGCCCCTTGAGGACGAGATGCAGCTGACCTCAGGCACGCAACTCGTCGACAGGAGGAGGGAGGAGGAGAAGGGAGGAGAGGTGGTGGCAGAGTGAACGGTGGCGTGTGCTCACCTGGAAGCCAGAATCAGGAAAAGCTCACAAGCGAAATCCGCACTCGCTCTGAGCACTCCAGGCAGCGATGCGCAACTGCCGCCCTCTGCGCGCTTCGGCGAGGTTGGCGCGAGGGAGGAGGAGGAGGAGGAGGAGGAGAGGAGGGAGGAGGGAGGCGAGGAGAGAGGAGGGAGGGAAGGAGGGAGGGAGGAGGCCCCTCCCCCCACCCCCCTTCACCTCCCCGCCCGCTCGCCGCCCTCCCCCGCTCCGCCTCCCGTCGCCCGCCCGGAGAGCGGAGGGGGGGGGGCCCGGGAGAGCGAGCGCAGGCGGGCGCCGTGCCAGCTGCGCGCCCGAGTCTCCGATCGTCGTCGTCGTCGTCGTCGTCGTCGTCGTCGTCGTCGTCGTGTTCGCACCTATCGCGCGCTCGGTGTCCTTTCCCTGTCTATCTCGTCCTCCTCCTGCCCAGCGGATGCCGCGCTCACCCCGCGAGAGCATGGAGCAGATCCAGGGGTTCGTAGGGAGGGTGTGTCGGGCGGGGCTAGGACGAGGAGAGATTCGTTCCAGAGCGTTCTAGAACGCTCTCAGAGCGTTCCGGAACGCTCTGAGAAGGCCGCGGCGCCCGAGACATCCTCCAGAGCCGCAGGATCTCGGAGATTCGCCCCAAGGCGGGGCCGGGGAACGACCCCAGCATCGTCTAACCTAACCCCATCCCCAACTGGGCCATGGTATCGCAGACCCGCCAGCCCTCACCCCATGTGGGGATAGGACCCGCGAAGCCCGAGGGGAGAACACACACGTACATCCCCACGCAGTGGTGCAAGTCGGCCAGTGTCGGAGGCCTGGAAGTTGACACCAACGCCAAAATCGGCGGTGCGCCTCCACCGAGGCAAGAGTATCCCGATCTCGGTGATGGTGGTAATGCTCTGGCTTCCTAGGCGGCCGAAAGATTACCGCCAACACCGAACTCTAGGATCATCTTCCCCCGGTGGAGGCAATCCCCTGTGTTGGTGTTGGTGCCCGTTTCCAAGCCTCTAACAGTGGGGCCAAGGCCATGCCAGTGGGGATGGGGATCGGGTAGACGATACGAACTTAGCTGGATGCTCACCGTTCCTCGCTCCAGGGGCCGCTCACGTGGGTGTTCCTCCAGCCCCACCTCTGCTCCTGCTCCGCCTCTCCACGCCGTGGTTTTCGGGCCGTGGGTTTCGGGCCGTTCGTCGGATCCAGGTTGGGGAGCCTATTCGTGGCCGAGGCTCGCCGTGGCCAGGAAATGCCCTACCTTCCTCATTCGGCGTTGCTTGGGGTAACACGATGACTGCACCCCGCTTCTTACGTCCCCCGATCGACGGATCGATCGTCGTCGTCGCTCCGACGATGGCGACGACGGCGAGGCCGCCGTCGACGACCACGACGATAGAAGGGCTCGATGGGCGTGACGTCGGCGAGGGGGCCTCCTCGGCGTGGCCCTGGCGCGGAGCGGGGAGCGCCTGGCGGTGCCCCTATAGCACGTCCCCCGAGCGGTCGTCGCCGCTCCGAGCCCCCCGAGCTGCCCCGGCCGTGAGCGCTCGGAGGCCCGCGCGGACTCCTGGGGTCGGCGGTGGGCCTCTCCCTCCTCCCCCTCCTCCTCCTCCTCCTCCCTCCTCCTCCTCCTCCTCCTCCTCCTCCTCCTCCTCCTCCTCCTCCTCCTCCTCCTCGTCGTCGCTCCGACGACGGCGACGACGGCGACGAGGAGACCTCATCGGCGCGCTCTCGGCGCAGCACGGGGACCGCCTGGTGGTGCTCGTGCAGTCGCCGGGGGCGTTCGTGGCCCCGTGGCGGGACTCGGTCGGCGGCCCGGCGCTTCGGAGGAGGGGGGGGGGGGGAGGGGGGGGGAGGAGGAGGAGGGGGATAGGGGGAAGAGGGAGGGAGGGAGGGGGAGTGAGGAGGGAGGGAGAGAAGAGGAAGAGAGAGGAGGAGGAGGGATGGGGGGAGGAGGGAGAGAGGTTGGGCGGAGGGAGTGGGGAGGAGGGAGGAGGGCACGAAGGCGGAAGGGAATGAGGGATATTTGAGTAGGGTGAGGAGAGGGGAGGAGGGGGGATGATGATGATGATGATGATGATGATGATGATGATGATGATGATGATGATGATGATGATGATGATGATGATGATGATGATGATGATGATGATGATGATGGTGACGGCGACGATGACGACAACGGTGATGATGGTCATGATGCTGCTGATGCTGATGCTGATGCTGATGCTGATTACGATGACGGAGATGGCGATGCTGATGCTGATGATTATGATGCTGATGATGCTGCTGATGAGGATGCTGCTGATGATGATGCTGCTGATGCTGCTGATGTTGATGCTGATGATTATGAGGTTCATTATGATGATGTCGATGATGTTTATGATGGTAGTGATGGTGATGATGATGATGATGACGATGACGATGATGATGCTGATGATGATGCTGATGCTGATGATAATGATGATGGTGCTGATGCTGATGATGATGGTGCTGATGATGGTGATAATGATGCTGACGCTGATGCTGGTGATGATGATGCTGCTGCTGCTGCTGATTAGGATGCTGATGATGATTATGATGATCATGATGATGCTGATGATGGTGATGATTATGCTGCAGATGATGACGAGGAGGAGGAGGAAGCGGAGGAGGAAGAGGAGCAGAAGGAGGAGGAGGAGGGGGAGGAGGGGGAGGAGGAGGGGAGGAGGAGTAGGAGGAGGAGTAGGAGGAGGAGGAGGAGGAGAAGGAGGAGGAGGGGGAGGAGGAGGAGCAGGAGGAGGAGGGGGGCGCAGGAGAAGGAGGAGGAGGAGGAGAGAGGTAAGCTAGGTGCGCTCGCGCAATGTCACACATTCTGTCCTTCCTCCGCATCCCTTCCCATTGCGCTGTTTTTTTCTATCCGCTGACGCCTGTCATAGCCGACCTGGAGCTCCACACAAGGCCCCATCGTGTTATGCGCAGTCGGACAATGGAAACATGTGGGACCTGTACAACCTGGGGAACATCTGTGGCCTATGGGGCTTGTGGGACCTGCGACAACTGTGGGACCTGTGGGACCTGTGGTACCTGTGGGATGCGTGGGAACTGTCCGCCCGCGAGACTTGCGAGATCAGTGGGACCTGTGGCACTTGCGGGACCTATGGGATCTATTATATTAGGGAGGACCTTTGTGGAACCTGCGAGACGTGCGACACGGACCTGGACCTGCGACACCTGTGGGACCTGCGGGACCTGCGGAGCCTGTCAGACCTGTGGTGCCAGTGGGACCTGTGGGACGACCTGCGACACCTGTGGGTCTTGTGGGACCTGTGGGAGCTGTGGGGCCTGCGAGACCTGCGAGAACTGTGGGACCTGCGAGACCTTGGGATCCCAAAAGTGGCCAAAGCTGTGGCGAAAGTGCCATTCGGAACGACGGGAGCACAGCGCCGATCCTAGAATGAGGCCTATGCTGCAACGCGAACGCATTTTATGACAACTGAAAACGATCGGGTTGCATACATTCATATGACAAACCAGTTCGGCTCAATCCTGTGTGTAGCAAACCAGACGCGGAGGGGGGCTTGACATATTGAAGACAATTTCAGGGGGCAGAGGAAAGTAGTATCCATAATGTAGTCATTATAGAGAGGAGAGAGGGCAAGCTAAGGGCGCTCCTGCCATGTCTGACTTCGTACCCCTCACACCAATCCCTTCCCATTGCGCTGATTTCTTCTCTATCCGCCGACGTGTGTCATAGCAGATCTAGAATTCTGGAAAGGACCCCATCGTATTATGCGCAAGCAGAAACGAGGAGCTGCGTACATTGGAGGAGGAGGAGGAGGTGCCGGATGCGCAGGAGGATGAGCAGGAGGAAAAGGAGGAAAAGGAGGGTGAGGAAGGATGGGGACGAGGACGAACAGCAGCAGCAGTTGCTGGAGTGGGAGGAGAGGGAGGATCAGGAGTACCAGGGGAAAGCGGAGAAGGGGAAAGGAGGGGGGCGACAACAATGAGGGAGGACTCGCATCCAGAAAAGTCCGGCGCTTGGGCGAGAGTGCCATTCTGAACGATGGGAGCAAATCGCCGATCCTAAAACGAGGCCAGCGCTGCGGTGGGAACACCGTTTTAAGGGACTGCAAGCGGTCAGAGTGTAAAACACAGACAAACCAACTTTTGAAATCCGGTGTCTAGATAACAATACGCGAAAAGGGCCGAATTTCTTCCGGACAGCGTCAGGGGAAAGAGAAGAGTAGTATTCACAATGTGTAATTGGTGAGGAGAGAGGGAGGAGAGAGGAGAGAGGAGAGAGGACGGAGTAGGAGGAGTAGGAGGAGGAGGAGGAGGAGGAGGAGGAGGAGGACCAGTGTTCACCCAAGACCCACCAACGATGTTGAAATACACGCTCCCTTCCAAGATCCTTCTTCATAGGCCCCATACAATGAGTCATGTCCACTGAGGGAAGTGCCCCGTTCGGGACAACCGTGTGAACATCTTGAAGCGTGCCAGAAACACCATTCTCAGGACTTCAGCGCCAGGAGTTTACCTGACTGTTACGTTTTGGCGATCCTGAATCGTGGCGGACACCATTCCTGGGATTTCAACGCCGCGAATCAACGTAATTGTGTCGCCCCGACAGTCCTGAATCCATCCCAAACACCTTTTCTGGTACGTTAGCCATGAGAACCCTTGAAAGCCTCGTACTCTTTGACACGAGTGTGCGCGGAGCCGAGGCGAGAGCCACATTAAAATAATAACCCGCCCTCCATAACTGTTAGAACGAGTGTGCGCGGCGTTACGGCGAGAGCCACATTTTGAAAACGACCCGCCCTCAATCCGTGAAGCTCTTGCAATTTTTTCCAGCGAATGGCCACGGCGCTGAGGCGAGAGCCACATTTTGAAAACGACCCGTTCTCAACCCGTGAAGCTCTTTCAAGTTGTGAAAATGAATGTGCGTGGTGTTGATGCGAAAGCCACATTTTGAAAACGACCCGCCTTCAACCCGTGAAGCTCTTGCAATTATCAGAACGAGTGTGCGCGGCGCTAAGGTGAGAACCACGTGTTGAAAACCACTGGCCCTCAATTTTCAGGCATATGCAACTCTTTAGAACGCATGGGCGCGGCGCTACGGCGAGAGCCACATTTTGAAACCACCCGCCCTCCATCTGTGTAACGGTTTTCAACTTCTAAGCATCAAGGTCTTAAATGGTGAGGAAGTCTCAGGCGAAACGCCCAACCCGCCCTTTCGAGCGGCCTCGGGGTGCGACAGGGAGGAGTTCTCTAGAAGGAAAGGGGATGGAGGAGGAGGGGGAGGAGATGGAGGAGGACGAGAATGAAGGGGAGGAGGAGGACCAATATAAACCCAAGATTCGTCAACGATGTTGGTATAACCCCTCCCTCCAAGCTCCTCCTTCATCGGTCCCATATAAGAGTTCATTTCCGCTGAGGGAACTGCCTCGTTGGAAGACAACCGTTTGAAGACCCTGAAGCGTGCCAAAACATTATTCTCGGGACTCCAACGCCACGGATCTACCTGACCGGTGCGTGTTGCCGATCCCGAATCGTGCCAGAACGCCATTCTTGGGACTTCAGCACCGCGAACCATCGTAACTGTTGCACCCTCAAGCTCCAGAGTCTTTCCAGAACGCCATTTCTGGTACGTTGACCATGAGAATCCGTGAAGCCCTTGCAACCTGTAGGAGGAACGTGCACGGGCTAGCCAGCCAGCCGCATCCTGGATGCGATGCGCTGAGGGTAAACAAAACATTATGACACTGTTTTTGTCCTGCTGGCGGGAGAGAGGAAGGGGAACAGGGGGAGGCGGAGGGGGGAGGAAAGGGAGGAGGGGCGGGCAGAGGACGGAGACGAACGGAAGAGAGGGGGGGGGACGAAGGGGAGGAAAGGGACAACTTGGCGGAGGGTCCGAATGCGAGGGGAGGGGATGAGGGGGGAGGAAGGGGAGGATGGGAGGAACGGGAGGAGGAGGAGGAGGAGGAGGAGGAGGAGGAGGAGGAGGAGGAGGAGGAGGAGGAGGAGGAGGAGGAGGAGGGGAGGAGGTGGAGGAGGACGAGCGTAAACCGAATATTCATCAACAGTATTGCAAGAAACTCTCCCTCCAAGTTCCCTCTTCATAGTTCCCATACAAGGGTCCGTTTTCACTATGGGAAGTGCCCCGTTGGAAGACAAACATTTGAAAATCCGGATTTGTGCAGGAACGCCATTCCTGGGACATTACGCCGCGAATCACCATTACTGTTTCGTCCTGACAGTCTTGAATCGGACCATGACGAGGTTTCTGACACTTCAACGCCGCAAACCAACTTAACTTAGGTCCGACACCGTGCCACAACACCGTTTCTGGAACGTTAACCCGGAATTTCTTTGAATCTCTTGCATGTTTGTATATCGAACGTGCGCAGCACGAAGGCGAGAGCCACCTATTGAAATCCACGCGCCCTCCATCTGTGAAACGGTTTTCAACTTTGAGCACCAAGGTCTTACATGGTGAGGAAATCTCAGTCGAAACGCCCAGCCACTTCGACCGGCCTGGGGGTGCGGCAGGGAGTTCTCTAGAAGAAAAGGGAATTGCGGGAGAGGAGATCGAGGAGGAGGACGAGGAGGAGCAGGAAGAGGAGGAGGAGGAGGAGGAGGAGGAGGAGGAGAAGGAGGAGGAGGATAAGAAAGAGGAGGATGAGGAGGATGAGGAGTACGAGGAGGAGGAGAAGGACGAGGAGGAGGACGACAACGACGACACGGCGGAGGACAGACGGGGGCGAGGGAGAGGAGCAGGAGTTTGTTGACGATGGCGAATCTTGGCGAAAACGATTCTGGTGGGC